TTGTCCTTTTTCCTCTTTCTCTTTCCTTAATTGCACACCAGCATTGTAACTCTACTATATTGGAAGCTTTTATTTGTGATAAAAATAAGTAAAACATCCAATTCAATCGCTAAAAAAGTTCTGAGACACAGATGGTGACAGGAAAAAGGCCGGTGGCTTAGAACAGGCTTCAAATAAAATTGACATAATCAAAATTAAGCACTGAGGAATGCTAACGAGACAAAGAGAGGTCCACAATCTTACCCGATGACCTCAGAGTCCAACATGCACTCTAGGTTTTACCTTAATACAGACAGCTGCTTTAGGATGTTACCTATAATATTTTGATAAGATAAGCAGAGTCCAAATGAATGAATCATTGCTGAGAAAAAGTACACCAGAAAATAGAAACTAACAAGAAAATCTCTGATGTTTAATAATCCACGTGATAGCCCTGACCTGTATAGATCAGTGGGTTGGGTTCCCTTCCCACAAGGCAAAAGGTCGCCGGTTGGATTCCCTGTCAGGGCACATGCCTCGGTTGTGTGCCTGGTCCCTGGTTTGGGTGAGTTTGAGAGGCAACCGATATTTCTCTTCCTCTCTTTCTCTTTCCCTTCCCCTCTAAGAATAAATAAAATCTTTAAAAAAACCCATATGACAAATCTTAAATGTTTACAGATATGCAGATCCTAAAAAGCATTCAAAAAGAAGTTTCCTATTTTGTAATCCATGGGAAGTAGACCATACATTAACAGACAGCAGTTTTTACTGACTAGGAAGTCTTCGAATATTTATCCTTTAGAGGTTACTGATGTAAGAAGATGAACTGGATTTGTCAGACTGCCAGCAGAATATATAGCCTATTCACTTTTTTCATTTAATTATAGAAAAAAAGTCAGGAATTATTTACTTACATAGAAATAAATGTTTGCTGGCAGGGTTTTTTGCTAATGGAAATGTGAAACCTTAGAAGCATGAATTGAAAAAATGTAACAAAGTGAAGGTAAACACTCTACCTGTCATAATTATAAATAGTAAGTACACTAGAAGTAACACCTGTAAATTAAATGGACTCACCAAAGGAACCTTAGATACCATCTTATCCAAAATTCTTTTCTTATACATTAGAAAGTGAGGCCCATGGAAGTTAAGGGCCTTGCTCAAGCTTATATAGAAAAGATAATTTGGAGATAATACTTGAGGCAAGAGATACAGGCCTGAGCTCAATTTACTACAATTTCTTTCTTCCTTTCTTTTCTCCTGAAAAGGTAACTTCAGTAATTGTTTTTTTCCCTGAATGATAATTTAAGAAAGAATTCTACCTTTCATAGTATAAAAGATTTTTTTAGGGCCCATGTTTTGCATAAATATAGTTTATTAAAGATTGACAACCCTAAGCTTTAGAGTTTCTAAGCATTTATTAAAACGATTCTATACAGACATTGACAAGTTCTATAAAATACCTAGTTATAGCAGATTTAGACCTTAAGAGAGGAAATGTGAACTCCCGCATTTAACATAAACCATAAACACGTTAAGAAATATTTTACAAATGAGCTTCAACTCTTAATTCTTTTTCCACTGACTCAATCCTCCTTCCACGCTCTAGCCTCTAAGCCCTTCCCCCGCCCCGAGCTTTCAAACCCTGAAGAGCTGGGCCGGCCGGGGCCCCAGGAGCAGTGCTCGTGTCCCCTGCCTCTTCTCGGTCAGTCCAGAAGCACGGCCAGGAGAGAGGCCTGTCCAGGAGCAACCAGTGCGAACCTTCCCTGCGCGGGGCAGCTGCTGCCTGTGGTCAGAGCGCAGGGCCAGCAGACACAGCTCGCAATTTCAGGGAGGACGCGCTCAATCAGCGCTGGCACCTCATGCTGAATGGAAATTGTTTCGTTGTGGATTAATTATCGTGCCTATTTCTGTTCAAGACACTAAGAGCACATTTAATAGGAACTAAAAAGTGACATTAGGAGACTAAGAAAGACAAGTTTCTTAGTTGGCAAACATACTATTTCATAATGTTACAAAATGTGTAACAACCCGATTTTATTATATATACAAAAAAAGCTTGTGATTTTTTTCACTCGTGTGTAAACATCAAAATAAAACAATTAAAATATTTTAAAATTTTTAACGTTGCTTCCACTTTCCTCTGAGTAAGAAAAAGTGATATTTAAAAATTACTTTACTCAAATTACATTTGAGAGTTGACCTTTCCTAATTAAACAAAAGTTGGGTTTTCTCCTCCATGTGTACAAACTTTACTTCATGATAATGTGCCTATTCTATCTGCCCTGGAAAAACAAGTAAAATCCAAAATGGGATTTTGGGGACTTCTTTTGAAATACCTTTATTACACCACATGCCTCCATTGCATTGGCATTTGGATAAATATCTCCTTAAATAGAAAGCACTTGGAGCAAATTTCTATGAAATGTTGTCGTTTATTTTTAATTAAAAGTTTGACTCAGTATTGCTTTAATGTAAATGCAAGATTTCAAAAATTGTATACAGTTTTCCCAAATCAAAACCAATCCGTTATAATACTACATCAAATTGAGAGGTTAAATTCAAACTGGCCTCTCAACACCTCTGTGTTTTTGCACACCATTAAGGCAGAGGCGGCGGCGGGCCCTCGCACCTAGGCCCTCCTCTCAGGTCAGTTTCTCTGCACGCGGACCCTTCTCACTAGAAAGGCCACGCCGCTTCTTTCGTGGAGCCCTCGCTCTAGCCAACGCCGTGCTGCTCTCCACCGCCTCCATCATCTGCGCCAACCGTGTGCTTGTCCACCCCTTCCGTCTCTCGTCCCCCCGAGTCTGGCTCCCACCCGCCGCGGCAGAGGAGCCGCTCGGACGGCCCCACACTGCCAGTCAACGCTCGGCTTCGGTCCCCATTCTGAGTCCCGGCCGCATTCCGCACAGCCCGCTTTCGAGTCGCCCCATCCGGCTCTGCACTCAGGTGCGCCTCCGCCTGCGCCGGCCACTCGGTGGTCGCACGGGCTTCTCTCTAGGCTTGCTCTGTCTCCGGCTACTTCCACCCTAACCGGGCATCGAAATCCCTCCTGTACAAGCTCTGGCAGGACCCCCTCCCCGCCCCCCCTCCGCCCTTCGCACTCCTGCGCCGGTTTCCCGCCGTGCCTTTCTGCACCCTCCACCCAGCACCGCAAACCCCCACGGCCGGCGAGAAGGCACACGGGGTCCTTCCGGTCTCCGCACTCTCTTTCGTTCGCTCTCCGACCCCAGCAGAGACCGCGCCCACAGCGCCCAGCTCTCAAATCCCTCTCCAGCCCCCGCCCCTTCCTCTCAGCACCGTCCCGTCTCGTTCAGACTTCATTCCTCACGCTCCCTCTGCGGACGCCTCCTAAGGGGTCTCCTTACTTATGCTACAGCGCGTCCCAACCCACTCTCCAAAGTGTCGTCGACCTGAGCTTCCGAAAGGGACTTTTGTCATGTCCCTGCTTCGGGTCCTGCAACGATTCCCCACAGATTCGGGAGCAAAGCCCCCTTCCTGGCAGGGCATGGAAGGCCCTCGAGTTTCTGGATCTTCTCCAGCCTGTCCCCTGCCACCCCCTACAGGCACCTGATGATTGCACAACATGGAACTGCTTGCAGTTCTTAAAGTATGCATTTCAACAAAGGAACACCCTGCCAGGGAAACTGTGCGACTGGCCAATAGAAAGCTGTAATAGCAAATCGCTTCTACAAACAGCATCTATTAACTCCTCCTCCGCTTCCACGGTTTTCGCTTTCCTTCCTTCAGTTCCCACACCACATGGCTGGTGCTGCTTTACTTGAAAGGGAAAGAGAATAAATTAGGGCTAGATAAATAAGCTCTCAAAATAAGGGCCTGAAAGTTAACTCTGAAATAACACCAATGAAACAAACTATGTGAAGTCCAAATATTAAAGATTCTGCTATCTTTGAAAACAGTAACATCACTAAAAATTAAAATTTAATTAGGGCAAACCAAGTGATCTTAGAAATCTATTATATTTTGTAATTCTCCCCAATGCAGAGAAAAACTATGAATACATTAAGATAAAATAAAAGCTATGAAAATAGAGGAAAAAAACCATCGGTACATAATGTTCTCTAAATCCCTTTAATTTGAAATTATTCTGAGATATGTCTCTTAGCATCCAAAATATCAATATTCAGTTGCTGTCATAAGTTAAGAACATATTAAATTATATTTAAATAAGCTTGCAAATACCATCTCAACTAACCTTGTAGGGAACACCTGAATTTCTATGTACTCTAGATTTTTCAGGGTCTCAAAAACTAAATTTATTAGGAATTTAAAATTTAAAACTCTATTAAAGATTCATCTTAATTAGAGGCTAGGTTAAGGTGTTCTATCATTTGCCATCATATTTTTATTTTGACATTTCAAGATGTATTCTGAGTCTTCTTTCAAGTTTTCTCTTTTAATCCTACTCCATGGGGGGAAAAAAAAGACTACTTTGAGCACTGGAAATAGGGTCTGTGATACCCAAACTCCAGCTGGTGAGTTCCCTTACTAACCTCATTCTGAGACTGCTCGACTCTCATGTCAATGAATTATCAACAGCTTAGGTTTTTAGAGATTCATAAATAAAACAATGTGAAAAGAATAAAACCTAATTAAGCTTTGATATTTAGAGGTGAAAGTTGCTCTTTGTTCTCATAAGCTATCTTTTCTTTCCCAAAAATAAGTTTTCGTGTCTCAAAATAAAAGAGTTAAAGTGAGTAACAATAGAAAAAAGAAAAGTGAATTTGTCTGATGGAAGGACAAGTGGATTATGAGTGAGGCGGGGTTACTGCTTCTCTCATTACTTTAAAAATATTGATCGGGAGGTTCTAATATTTCCTTTCCAAAACTGTGATAGAAGGACACATAACGGAGACCATTAGGTAATAGCAATAGCAATCAGGGTTTTCAACTTCTTTTATTTACTAATTTTGTGATTTGATCAATTCCTACTACTCAAATACCTACATGGAACACTCTTCATATTTGAAAGATGAAACAAAATCACCAGTGTTACTTACATTCCAAATCGCAATGTTCCAGAAACGTATGTTTGCCAGTGTGCGCAATAGAACATGAACGTCCCAGCAAAACAACAAAAAAACATCCAGTCAGGGTTTGTCCCCAGTTGGACCGCAATACAAGTTCCAAGAACCACAAAAACTGCAAAAGAACGATCACAATGAAAACTGAACAATCTGAATGAAAAAGCACTGAGTTGAAATAATTTTAGAGGCAAAAAGAAGGCATACTGTAAATGTACCATCTTCTCTCAGCTAGCAAAGGTAACAGGAAAGAAGAATGTAATCTTTTATATTGTATTTTATCCCATAATTTCAATCTCTTTTTTCACTAGACCAACCTAAGTTTCTGAAAGCAACTAAAATACTTCAGCATTTTTGTTTTTGGAGTATCCCCCCAACTTAGTAATAATGTATTTTTTAATATATAGGAAAACTTCAGTAATGTTACATTTAGTGATAGCGTATTAATGAGCAGTAAAAAATGACAAGGCAGAGAGTCAAAAAGGAAAAAAAAAGGCCTAGATAATTCACAGAGGGACCTACTTGCTTCAGATTGATAGCTGTCTTTTTTTTTTTTTTTTAATTCCTCACCTAAGGACTTTTTTTGTTTGCTTCATTGCTTTTAGAGAGAGAGGAAGGGAGAGAGAGACTTGATGTGAGAAAGAAGCGTTTGGCTGCCTCCGCTAGGCACATGCACTAGGGATTGTGCGTATCCTGAAGGGGGATCACATGTGCCTGGACCAGGGATTGAACCTGCAAACTACGCCTGTGCCTCAACTGGAAATCAAACCCACAACCTTTCGGTATGGGGACAGTGCTCCAACCAAGGTACACTGGCCAGGGCGACAGCTGTCTTTTCGTATTTAGCAGATATTTTGGACTTCCGATAAAAGTTTTGGAACTCAATGACAGGTCAAAAGTGACTACCACTTAAAATAAAAAATAGGATACCTATCATTCTGCTGTCATCTAATTAAATTCAAACAGCCTTTAAGATGCCCAGTGGAAATTCTGAGTTTTTCTTGAGTCTCAAAAGTTTTTACGAGAGTTTGGCTGCCCCTTTGCCACTGAACAAGCTGCTCTCAGGACACACCGGGAGCAGGGACGTCACCACGCACTGCATCTGCGGATCTGAGTCCATGAGGGAGAACTGGCTGCGGTTTCGTTTTGTTTCTTTTAAAATGTTGTCACTGCTATGCTGAATGACAAGAAAGTCACTGAAGAACTAAACAAAAATAAGTGTGTGTGTGGTGAGGGGAGGTCGGGGAGTCCTGGCAGGAAAACTAGTTAGAAGCTGTCATTTAGCTTCTGAATCTCTTTTTTCTTCTATAAAAAGGCACTGAAACACTATTTTAAAAACAGTACAAATAGAGACCTATTACCTTTAATCTAACTAGTAACTCATCTATTGCTAGCATGTGAGTGTATTTTTTCTAGTCTTTTTATCCAAGCCCATTATCACACAGTTGTACTCCAAGCCTAGGACAGAATTTTAAATGTCTACATAACATCCACTTAAACACAAAGACTAGGATGTTCCTAGTCTCCCATTATTGTAATAACATCTATAACTTGAGATTTTTTTGATGGTGACACTTATGCCGTAAGATTTTTTAAATATAACAGGTGCCAAAACAGTAATATTTATGGTTAAAAATAGCTTTAAGTAGAAACTAAAATGTCCCAACACCGCTAATGAACAAACATTAACCAGATTTAGTTTTTTGAAAATATTAAAACTTATACAAAATCACTCATTCTGATAACTATAACACCATAACCTCTTATTTATCACATTCCTTTTTGTCACTTTTAATCATTAACATTAAAAAAAAATCAATACTACCTGTTGATAGTGAATCACAACCATGATCAAAAAGTTCTCCCAAAGGAGTACTACTGTTGGTTCTCCTTGCCTGCTTCCCATCGATGGCATCCAAAGACTGGTAGATGAACAGGCCGCATGCGCAGGCAATGTAGGCCCAGAGAGGGGCCTGCGAGATGAAACAAGAAAAGCAAGACCTTTAAGACATATTCATTGCCATGTTTAATGAATATACTTTATCTTCCTTCTCCAGAGAAGCACTACTGGTTGGAAGCTACGGGCGAGAAAAGCCAAGCGCTACATAGCGAAAAACCGTCCTGAAACAATCTGAGTTGTAAAAGAATTAAATTCCTTGCTTAGCAGAGTGTTCAAGCGGAAGCTGGACAACCCCCTCACGGGGGCATTACAGAAATCCCATGACAGATTACACACTAGACGATTTCTACGAGGCTCCTTCAACATTTAGATCTAAGAGTCAAGGAATGAATAATCTAGTACAGTTTTTCCCAAATTGCACCTTTTAAGACAATTACAGGTGTTATGTGAAAAACACTCATGCCAAACCAAACTTCTGTGGGAAACACTGGGTTAAACAACGTCAAACTGATTTCTCCACTACAGGACTCCTACCAGCCCCCAATACTACTAACACATACTGGGAATGCTCCAGAAGGGGGACGTAATAAGCGGCCACCTCCCTATCTGAGCATGTAACTTATTTTTAAACACACTTCTCCAATGTTCCGTGGAACGACACTAGAGAAATAACGATCTAGTACACAGAGTGCTTAGAACATGGTTTTTCAAATAGTTATGGTCACATTTTCCAATAGATCCTTTTGTTTTCCTAGACAGGAAATGAACCACCAATATTGATTTTAAATGTTATGCATTAAAAAGAGAGCTTCTATTTGGCTTGTTCTCTTTAAAAATATAGAATAATGTTTTGTATCACTTTCCACTATTACCCACACCCAGGCCATAAAATTTTTTTTATAAACACAATGTTTTCTCAGGTATTGGTTATCAAACTAAACTCAGTATTAAATGACCAGAGCTGATAAATTAAAACTATTCAGAGCTGCAAATAATATTCAGTATACTCTGCACCGCAAAGGTTTATTTCTCTCTGACAGAGATCTGTTTCGTTCTCAGTTATTGAAGGTAAGGACAGATCTTTTCAACATTTTCTCAGAGCCTCAGACTTTACGGCACGAGGCTGTTCAAAGGACTGTGGCACACACCCTCCCAGGCCCGAGTTCCAGACCCGCAAAGCAGTGACTCGGCTATGTGGCCGCAGTGCACGTGCAAGCTCAAGGGACTGGGGTCGATCTCGTGGGACTAAGATCCCCATCTTCTGGACTCGGGTCTACGGCTTCTTGCTCCTAAACGAATCCAGTAACTCTACAGCAGCGCTGTGTGGCTATTTTAGACTCATTAAAATTAAATTAAAACAAAAAGCCCCGTTCCTCAGCTGCACCGCCCACATTCTCAGTACTCAGTAGCAACCTGTGTCCATGGCTACCGTGGGACCGCACAGGCGCAGAGCGGCCCCTCGTCACAGGGACGCCTACTGAACAGTACTGCGCGAGGGGACCGAACACCAGGGACTTCGGGGGTCTAAACTTAGGGCCTTCTAATGGCAAAGTGTGACTCTGGGACAGAGGCGACTTTAACTACATAACCATAATCCTAAAAAGTGGCAAGACAGGAATTACCTACGTGAGAGAGAACAAAGCCTTCTTGTCTTTGAATTTTTCTTCCTTCTGTGAATATGCAGAACACGAAACTAACACTTATCCCTTGTTTCCATGATTTCACAACTCTCGGGGCCCTTCTCGGGAGCCGGTGGCCTCCACCTGGAGGTGCGGCAGGCGGCCGAGGGGCGCCAGGGCGCGGTGGGGAGCCCGTTACCACCACGCCCCGGCCGGGGGGCGCGGGAGAGCTGGCAGAAGCAAACAATCGTATTCACCGACTCGCAAAATCTTCAGAGATGGTTTTAAGTGAGTCAGGTGAAAAATGTTTAAGAAACTTAAGGTTTTACTACTATTTTAAAAAACAGGAATTTACATACATGCAAATATATACATATCCTGGGACAAGAGTGATTATTTTTCCCCTGGGAGAATATTAACAACAAATCGTTAAATGCATGTATGAGGAGAGGAATTGGAGGTAGGGGTAGAGAGGCAAGTCAGGTACCAAAGGGAATATTTTACTTTCGTTTTATACTCTTCTGTTTGAATTTTTCTAACTACGTAATTTCCCCCCTTTCCCTTTCAATGTCCGTTGGAGTTAACGGGACAAGGAGGTTACGAGAGGTGCCATTTTAAATATCCTTCCATTTTTCTATATTTTAAAATAATGTAACAAATTTTTTAGTGAGTTACATCAAAAGCATTAAGTGTAACATAAAAATAAACAAAAACCAATAAGTATTAACAGAAAACATTACCCTATTCCCAAAGTTATATTTAAGCGCGGAAGAGCTCTTACTGATAACTGCATATAGCTCAGGACTGGTTTTCCTGGGTATAAAAGATACCAGTTTCCTTTCTCTCTCTTACGTGGCAAAGGTAACTCACACACATCAAGCTGCTTGATAAGTTCTAAATTAGCTTAGTGATACTAAACCCAAAGCTACTGGCTGATGAGGTTTAAATGGTAACAGCAACAGATCCTGAGAAGTTTGGTATCCCACAGAAAAAGGGAGAAGTCTGCATTTCCAGGGACTGACTTTCCTTTCTTATCTTCAGGAAAGTCTGTTTTCTTTCCTGATACAAAAAGCAAACTCGGCTGAACCCATTACAATAGTGACATCCTCTTCTTTTTTTCTTTCCCAAGTTTCAAGTATTTACTAACCACTGGGAAGGCCAGCACAGCACAACGCCAGGACTCCGCGCCCCCGAGGGAACTACTTCCGGGGGAGGCGAGGCCCTGTCCAGGCGGCTCCTGGGAGGCCGCCGTCCTCCACTTCGCTGTGACCTGCGTGCACTGAGCAGACCTTGTACTGATCATCGGCGCCCAGTTTGTTCCAAGGTTCTGGGTTATTTCTTCTGTCCCAACAGACGTCCGGACTCCACGATGCCAGGCGCCGGACTCAGCGCTGCCCCGGCTCCCCCGGCCCCGCAGACAGGAGGACGGGCTGCGCTGGGACGCTCCCCGGCCTCACGGCCACCCGGCCGGAGCGCCGTTGCCCCAGACGGCCCGGCGGCGGGCGGTCAATCGTGACATTCTTTCCTACTGGAAAGGCTGATACCTGAAATTCTGATGTAGTTTAAAACACCAGTAACTTAAAAAGTACGTGGAAAGTTCATAATGCTGTAGACGTTAAATGTGATGCTCACCCACTGATAGGCTGGAAGAAATTAGAGCTATAATGAATGAGAATTTCCCCGGAATTCTTGCCTACATAACACTGATAAAGAAAACAAATAAGAAATTCAAAGAGGATTTAGATGAACTTGTGAGTCCATATATAACGTATTAGGAAAAAATAGGAATGAGAAGGGTTGTGGAGAACAGGTTCTATACTCAATCTTTTTGACCAATAAATAACTGTCTACCATTTACTGAGCATTAGGTACTGGGCACTCCGAATCCACAATCTTATTTAATCCCCATAATACTCCAAAACAAGATTTAAAAGGATAAACAAACTGTGGCTCACTAAAGATCGCAGAGATAATAAGAGCCTACATGGAAAAGAGCCACGACCGACTTCAACGCGCTCTGATCGCAGCCTCCCAGGAGCTCCCCTCTGCAGCAGTAACACTCCGGGCCATGGCCCAGGGGTCCCGCCTTCGCTGGCAGAGCACTGAACAGCGGCTCAGCCAGAGTGGACCCTGACTCCTCCCAGCAGCAATTCTGAAGTTTTCTGTGATTAGAGTAGTTCCTATTCTGGACATTTCCCCAAAGATTTGACTAATTCTAGGGTTTCTCCAACAGTTCAGGATTTTCTGGAACACGGTGACTGGTGTGCTTGGGGTGTTTGGTCAGTGAGTCTTCGTGGCTGAGCTACCATTTAACCTGCTCTCATTCCCGGATCCCCTCCTGGAACTAGCTCAGGGCTATTGGAAGGCTTTTACTGGAATCAGCCGACCTCCCTGTTGTTCTTCTGTATGTCTAGGGATGAGGAAAATCTGGACCAAATTCCTCTGGAAGTAGCTGTTAGGTTCTCAAGTAAGCCACTTATAAAACAGCTTACAGGACAGGTAATAAAGAACCCACAGGCATATTTGTGGAGGAGGAGACTAGCCCATGACCTGACTGCAGCAGGGCCTGCCAAGCTAGACCAGAAGGGTCTGGAACGGAACAGAGACAGCTTCCTGTGAATCCCCTCTGATGTCTCACCTGAGCCTCCCCGGGCACCAGGCATGCTGGTTCCAGGAACAGGCTGCGGCCCTGCCCCACCAAGCTTGGCACACCTGTTCCTGTCCTGGCAAATGTCCCCACAATATGTAAAAAATCATATTGGTTTTTTGTTTTTAAAGTTTCCTGATTGATGCAAAGTACAATAATTAAGAAAATGAAGAAAAAACAGAAATATGTTCATACAATCTGTATGGACTGAGTTTGTGTAGTAAAAGAGGAATTAAAATAAAGTTATTCAAGCATATGGGGGAAATGACCACCTAGAAGGAAAAAAACTCAACTATGAATTGATGAAAACAGAAAGGGATGATGACAATTTTATCTCAAAGGACAAATCATATGAAAAGACTACTTAAAACAATTGTTACTTCAAGCCAAGTAACTTCAAGCCAGTTGTTAAAACAAGACAAGGAAAGTTGTGGCCATTATGACACATGGCTCCGAGTCACTTTTGACACCTTTAGTTGATGATGACCTTCTATCTTTTTGGGTTATCTGTGATGGATCATTCTGATTAACTTGGGAACAAATGTTTGATTCTTTTATCTACTTCAGTTCTCTTTTTGACAAGGAAATTTTTAGACCAAAGGAAAAAGACATCAATGTACCCATCCTGATGAAGGCTTCTAGTTTCAGTTTTGGTCTTAAGTAGTGAGTTTAGAGGGTAAAAGAGGAAACAGGAGCAGAAATTTGCATTTGAGAAGGCACACAGAGTCTTTGCAAGCCATTTGATTCCATGCTTCCTTTTTTTAATGGTGGCCATAACAGGGCACAAAACAGGACATACAGAATAACAGAGATATATCTGAGGTCTATCAGCCAGCCACATGTTTATAGGAAAAGAAAAGATCTCCCTGGAATTGATAGGGGACCTCAAGAGTTAAACACTTTAGCTGTAGTTATAGTTGATAGGCTTCCATGATGAATGCACACCACAAGCTGTCATTCTAAGAACTGGAATATATGACATAGGTGACTCCAGGAGGTCAAAAAGCAATTCAACCTCCGTGCCCCAAGGGGTCCGCAAGTGATGGACTGGGATGTGTCTGAGTCCTTGTGTTCCAGGAAGGGAACGTCAGTGATGTAGATGAAGACTTGTTGATCAGCAGAGAAACACGAGGAAAATCATTGGACTGCAACTCTTATCTGATTAGTCTTTTCCCCCAAACCCTTTATCTACCCTTTTCTTCCCCTTATAAAAAGGTTGGCTTGAGATGAAGTGTTAAGATGTTTTTTGAGAATACATAACCCACCATCTTCTCAGATAGCTAGCATCTGAATAAAACGCCCATAAAGATTCGATCCTTGTCTCTACTTATTGGTTCTGGTAGTGACAGAAAGCATGACCACTGATTTTTCTGGTTTCAGAATGGAGAGGACAGCACTTTTGATAAGTCTAACTTATGGCCATGCCACCTCACTATCGAACTTTATTCTCTGATTATTTTAACCTTTGCAAAGACTTAGTTCAACCATTCAAAGAAAGAAAAAAGAGAGAGAGAGAGAGAAAGAAAGAAAGAAAGAAAACCTCTTTCATAAAGAACTGAGATTTACTAATTTTAAAAGGACCATCTGATATGTTAATCCCTGCTAACAATATACTTACTAGAATCAGGGCCCACCCTTTACTTAAGCACAGTGTATGAGGTAGGTTGTACTAGCAAGCTTTATTAACAGTATGTGCGATAAGATGTTATAAAACAGTTGACAAAAGAGTTGTCAGATTATATCTGTAGCTAAAATGACCTAGAAATCCCGATTACAGTGTTTCCAGCATATAACAACTATTCTTATTTGTTAAGAAATTCCTCTTACCTGCTCTGTAGCTGTGGGGCAGTAGAAGACTAACAAAACAGTTGTGCAGATGTTTATTGACAACCCAATGATGGTGATGAGATTCGGGGCAATCCAGGACGGAACTCTTCCCACTAGCCATTCCCAGTACCGCTGCATTAAGGGCTCAAGCAGGGACCGTCCAGCACTCTGATACCTGTGCTCCTCTAGCCGCTTCAGCTGGTGTCTTGACAGTGGGGGTGTAGGCAACTGAAACAATTTGTTCAATATACACCCTGGAGTACTCATGTGCCCTAAGCCCACAGGGGACTCGAGGTGAGAGTCTCCACATCGTTTCCTTGTTGATCGATGCCCGCTCATGGACTTTGGCTTTCTTTTATTTGGAGAGAATACTTTATCTTGTTTTATAGCTTTTTGTGGCTGGTATTTACCTGGGAGGGGAAAGAAAGTCTGTCAGCCATTACTTACAACAATGCCACCAAATTTCTTTTAAAAAGTTACACTCGTAATAGAGTAATACATATTAAACAGGAATCAGAAAACCAGGGGTCTGCTTTTAGTTCTAGTTCTTACTGATGGTGTGAACCAAATGAAGTTACATAACCTCAACTTTAAGCGAAAACTACTAAGGGATTTTGATAGTAACGTGCCCCCTGTTACCTTACAATTTGCCTGACTTCAAAGCTCATGTTCTTTTTCCCTCTCACTGCTTTCAGTAGTATAATGGAACGAATCTTAGAAAAGATCCAATCATTTCACATACATGAAAACTGAGGTCCAAAGGCATGCCCAAAGAGCTAGCAAATCAGTATTACTATCAGAGGAATGACTTGAATATCGTAGGTCTTAAACTAGATTTTTATTTAATGCCGACAGTTAACATTTATTGAGCACTCACTGTGTACTAAAATCTTTACACATGTTTTCTATACTAACTCATTTAATCCTTACAACAACCATAGAAAGTAAGGACTATTAATTGCCCCTAATTTGACAGAAAATGAAACAAAGGCACAAGACAGGCTAATGAACTTGTACAAGCCCATGTAGCTAGTAGGTGAAGTGCAGCCAAACACAGGCTTTCTGTTTAAGCCGGATTAAAAGATAAAACCTCTGGGTAGTAGAAAGGAAAATTCTGTTTGTAGTATTCTAGGCGGGGTAAAGAGCAATGAAAAAAATTAACTTTAAGGGGACTCGATACGTGTATTAGCAGAGCGACCTGGGGAACTGAAGAAATCAGATGAAAGTCTAAGCGCATTAAGTGGTGACTGTTCATAAGGGACCTTGAGTTTACCTCCTGAAGTACACTGCATATGACTCAGACAAGATTAGAGATAACGTAATTATGTTATTAAGCAATGCAAGAAAATAAGGACAAGTATATTTTCAAGATTAATAGGATAGATATATAGTCATCAGAGTAGAGCAAGTAGTGAGAACATTTAAAAATTAGCATGGGAACCTTAAAGTCCTGAAGTGGTAACGGCCTGGGGTAGGATCGTAAACATGGAAATAGGAAAGGCGGTCCAATCTTTAAGTAATTTCTTTCTAAAAGGAAGTTTTGGGGGTGAAAGAGCAGAGGAGAACACTAACCAACAGTCACCAGTGGTACTACTGTCAAAAGGAGGGGTTGGGAAGGAAACCCAGTGGGTTATTTTGGTGTTTGCTGGTGCAGTGGTGATGAGAGAGGATCTGTGGAAGAGGGTAGGGAGTATGCACACGTAACTTTTAAGAACAGATGTTATAGACAAAATCAAGTCACGGGCATTTGGGTATGAGATGAAAATTTTAAGTTATCACATTAGAAGCTAAAGTCTAGTTAAAGATCAAAAAAAAAAAAAAAAAAAGTAGAAACGTTCTCCAAGGGATTAAGTATGAAGAGAAAAGGAAACAGAGAACCTTCTGGGAAACTCATGGTTAGTGAGCCGGGGGCACAGAAGCCATAAGAGAATTTTTTTAAAAAGTTATAATCTTAGTAGAACTGAAAGGGTAGCGGCATTAAACCAAGAGATCTTCCGGGGTGCAACACAAGGCTGCCCTGACCGCCCCGTGGGATTTCCAGAGTCGCCGCACCAGGAGAATGTGGACGGTGACGCAGGGCCTAGGGCCTCTTGACTCCAGTATTGAAACGTGTCCAGGACGTCTTGTCTCTGTCACCCTAAGTAATAAATTCCAAAATTTCAATATCACCAAAGATCTAAAGTGGCATTCAAAATCACAACCAATCACGTAGCTCAGTAACTGTGTGCATGAAAAGGGGCCACGTATGAAACCTGACAGGTTCCGGGGAGGCCTGCACGGCGGGCCATATAAGCTCAGAGACCAAAAGTAACCAACCCCATGGGATGCTCTGAACATTGAACTTCCTAACTAACGGCGGGCCTGGAGCTTCCTTGACAAAAGTCAATCTTTAAGTCAGCTTGCCTACTGTCTTACTGCAACAAAGACAACATATTCTTGGAATGTCTCCTTTTCCAGACCCCTCACAGCGCACCCATCACACAAGGGCACAGACCAAGAACCCCTCATTGTTATCCTGTCTCCCCAGTATCATCCCCATGTGCTGTAAATGGTAACTGTTACCAATCCTATACCCACCAATGTAAAAGAAGTATGAGCCTCTATGTCTTACTCTTTACCCAATCTCGGAGATTTCCCCACTTGGCTTTCTCCCACCTCCCACGTCTGCTACAGACGGATTTCATGCCACATCCCCTTACGGCTCCTCCTTTGATTCTGACGGTATGAAATAAGCCGCAGAACTGAGCTTCTCCGCAACATCTTCTCAAGCCACTGTCATCAGTTTGGCTCAAATAAATCCATAAAAATTTTCTACACGTTTGGATGTTTAAGTTAACACGTGTCACAAACCAACCGATTAAAACTGTCTTGAAGCAATATTTATGTAACATCAAACAAACCGCGATCATTTTAGATCAAATGATAGAAGACTGATAACCAGCTTAATACTCAGCTTTGTAGTAAGTCAAATTTTCTATTCAGACCGAATAATGTATTTTCATATTTGGGAAGCTATAAGCAATCCGCTCCTATGGAATTCCACTTAAAGAATGAATAAAAAGTTTAGCCAACTTAATTTATATTTTATATGAATAGTATCTACTCCCCTATTTATTTATTTATTTATTTTAGGTGACATACTGACGGTGCTAGCTTGCTTTTGGCACTAACAGCTACCAGCAACTGATCCTAATGGTTTTAAGTTTTAGTATTTGGCAAGACTGTACGATAAACTGATACTTTCCTTCTGAGTGTTTTCCCCGCTGACCTAGATTTTTTTTTTAACCTTCTATTTCTTTTTTGGGAAAAAAACCCCCTACATTTTGACAAATCTTTCCAGATCTAGCCAATGTATAATTCACACATGGGGAAAAAAGCCAGTAAATTTATGAACATTGTAATTTGGCAAGATTATCTCTGCCAAGCGATTAGCAACAAGGTTGCAAATACACACTCAGATACGTGTAGTCCCTGACATACTTCGCTTTCAGCACAGAGAGCCCCAGCGGTGGCTGCCACTGCCACAGGCCCATCTCCGCTCTGCCTTCCTCCCATTTCGCCTGAAATCCACAGGCTACTGACATGGAAATCATCTCAGGAAAAAATTGGAGTGCCTGAATTTTAGCAGAGGAAAAGCATGCATATTTCAAGAGAGCACGGCACAGGGTAGATGAGTGCAAGACGAAGATCAGACTACCTGGAGAGAAAGGACAGAAGGATGTGGCATGGAAATATGGAAAAGAGGTACAAATATTACAAAAGAATTATTTTAGCCACTTAGGATTTTCATCGAAACCAGGCCTATGCCCAAGAGGATGAGGAGAAAAATGTCATTTTCTTGTCACACTAAAAGGAACTTAAAAAAAATAAAGTAAAACTATTGCTGGCTAGCCTAGAAACCTAGCCACCAGTCATAAGTTTTTATGAGAAAATGGACTCCAAGTTGCAAATGCATTCAGCCAATATGCAAGTGCAGTAAACAAGAGAGACATGGTCCCAGCTCCAGTGCCCAATGGGAAAACAACTAAAGACAGGCGAACAGGCAAATAACATGACACACTGTGACGGGTGCTATGAGGGAAACAAAGTGTGGAGCCCGAAACCGGTGGAGGGCGGTTGAAGCGCAGGAGGTGGCAGCATTTATAGCACATTCAGAGGCAGAAGAGAAGGTGGCCCATCCACGAGCAGGAGAAACCATCCCTGAAAAGGGTTCAGGCCCTGAGGCATGAAAAAGCTTATCTTGTCCAGGGGCCTTTGAGGTCAAGGCGGCCGGACTGTGGTAAACCAGGTGGAGGCGTGGCATAAAATGAAGACAGAAAAGCCAGACAATGCAGAGGTGTACAGACCATGGCAAGGAGTTTTTATTTTGATGCATGGAAAGCCACCCTCAAGCTTACAGAGAAATCTGTAATTTTGTAGCACAGCCTACTTGCTAATTGAGGATATGTTTTCACAAATCGTCAATAGTAAAAGTGAACGTTTTAAAGTAAAAAATTCCCATCACCTGGAATTTAGTTTGCAATCATTATTGATCAAAGCCCTCTATCTACTGTAACCTTTCTACTTGTAATCAGCAAATTCCCCTCCCCTGTTATACCCTGGCTAGAGTTCAACTCTCCTTTCACTGCACTTACCACATTTTAAACTTGTTTTGGTGGTGGTTCTTTTTGGTGGCGGTGCTGCTGCTGTTCTGGCCTCCCCCCACCTGTTCTGTAAGTCACAGGAGTGCAGGGTCCATGCCTGTCTCCACGCTGTTCACCCAGAATCTCACAGCACACCTAACACTAAGTAGCTAATTAGCACTTATTTGTGGGACAATGAACAACATGATTAAGTATTTAATGATCACTTAGTTGTTCCAGACCCTGAGGAAACAGAAAGACTGAAACATGCCATTCATGCCCACAAGAAGCTCAAAGGGAGCTGCGGGGGGGTGGGGAGGGGGCGTCTCGTAAACAGCTAGGTTGTGTGTGACAAGCTGTTGTGGGAATCCCGAGGAGAGGGACACACAGGACCTGACAAAGATTTCTCTTTGTGCCGGCAGGAAGATTTTGATGTGAAAAGCCCAGCAAAGGTACAAAAATATAATTGGAGATATTTCATGATTATCTTCACTAAAGCTACACACAATTTGTGGACCTTAAATCAGTGATGCAAACCATCTGTGCTTATAGTGACTGAAGCTAATGGCACGAAGCCCCTATTATTTCTATGTTCAGAACTGGGGAACATCTGACAAGTATTACACTAAATAAGGAATTGCCACTGCTCAGCAAAACAAGGTGAGCTTGCACAATATCCAACCTGTAGTGGGAGATTCCAGAATTCCCAGCTCCCATGCCTACGTGTGCCAAGTTTTGAGCTGCACTGATTCAGCAGTATGTTTACAATCCTTTCACAGATGCTGGTGACTACACAGCTCTTTGCAACCTTCACGGCGCTACGAAAGGAAAATACCAAAGGCCTAATACCAAAGGCCTACACTGTTTGCGAGGCCGAGCAAATTATAGAAAGCAAGTTAAAACAACAAGAAAGAAAACCAGTAGGATCACAGGATTACATTCAGCATTATTTAACAAGTGATACACAAAACAAGCTAGCAAAAACAAAAGCCTTTTCAGTAGACTTGGAAGCAAAAACAGTACTGTGTAATAACAATTTAGATCTAGTGTTTGGCCAAAGGGAAATCACACATTCCTTAAAAATAGGAAACAACTTCCTCCGGTGAAACAGAGAAAAAGCAAACAGGCTAGCGTTTTGTAGATTATATTTCTAGTCCCTTAAAAAAAGGCAGCACAACATGACCCTCAAAAAGAACATCACCAGCACTTTTGGCCAGCTTCAAGAACACGCCTCCTGTTGCCTAGAAAACGAATTGACAATGCAATAAAATGTAATTGGAGTTATAAAAAAAAGTTCAGAGCTATAGATCAAACATTTAATGGCATTTCTAATGTAAACTTAGAGGGACTGGGAGTGGGAGAGGAAGGAGAATAAATTGATAAAACCATAATTGGAAATGTTCAATAATCATTTATAAACTGGACAACAAATAAAGACGCTTCTGTCGTGGCAGGTTGATCTAACATTTCTTAAATGAAAGGGGTGTAAAGACAAGTTGCTTATGAGGCTTCGACTAATTTTTTTCAGCACAGACTACACAGCAAAATGCCTTTAGATCCTCAATATATGGAATTTTATGGGACCATCAGTGGCTCTAAAGTAATAGTGCTCGAAATGCCCTTACCACAGTTTAACTTGTGTTGTTAGTCAATCCAATACACACACTGAACACATTCCTACTAGTTCTAGAGTAGGAACTGAGTATTTTTGTCCACATACAAAACACTAATATTTGATGAAAGACAGCTCTTAATTTGTCTACTATCTTAACATGGATTCATTAATGAACTAAGAAACTTCAAGCTACATCTCATTTTCAATACCAATGACACAAAAGAGCAAAAAATGACACAAAACGCCAAGCACCGAATTGGAGAAAAAAGTCAAACGTGGCTAAATGTAAAGATCCCATTCATCAACTGCTCCTGGGAGCAGACGAACACTAGCCACCCTCCAGCCCTCTCTCCTTCCAAGAATAGTGCTCAAATAAACTCTAGCTGGCGATCTCAGAGCTTCTCAATATACAATGAAATTTCGAGAGAAGTTGCTGATCAAGACGCAGGGCCCAACCACGAAATACCAGCACCGCATTCCAAAGGGAAGGCCACCCCGGTACAGGATGGTGTGGACCTGCCAGGCAAGGTCGGTTCCGCGCGGGCAGCGCCCCTAGCCCTCGGTCCGCCCAACCCTGGCCCGCCGAGGCTCTCCCCGCCCCGACTCCCACAGCAGTCCTCGGGCTCCCACGCTGGCACCTCAAACTCTTCACCCGGGGCCGGAGGGGCGACTGCCCCTCGCGCTCCCCCAAACGCCGCGTGAGGCCACCCAGAAGGAGGAAGGACGGCGTTCGCCCCGCGCGAGTCCACACACAGGTACACACCGATGCCCCACCCCGGAGCACGGAGCTCTCGCTCCACACCCCCCTTGAAAGTCGTGTCCCCCAACATATCCACACCTTGACCGTCTTCCCAAGACCGAGCTCCGCAGCCTTACCCGCACCCCAATAAGCACAGAGCTAGAATTAAGACCTCCGCCTCCAGCCGACTGGGTGACTCTGTTGGGCGGCAGCACCTTCACGACACTTTCGCGATTGCCGTAAAGGAACACAGGCTCGGGAGGAGCGGCGGCGCGGCGCGCTCCTCCCGGCGGTGAGCGCGCCCCGGCCCGCCCTCGCTGCTCCGGTGCGCGCCCCGGGACCCGCCCCATCTCCGTCCAGCCCGCAGGCTCCGGGCCCCAGCGGTCAGCCCCGGCGGGCTCGTCCCACCAAGGTAGGCGGAAAGGGGGATGAGGAGCGGCCCGAACCCTCTCTAGAGGTGTGTGTCAGAGGGTCGGGAGGGTCCGGCAGGCCGAGGAGTGGACGCGTCCAGGAGCTTGCCCCCCCCACCCCCGTGGCGGGCGTGCGAGTCATGTGCCAGCTCGCGCTGCTTCCAGGGACAGCACTGTGAGAGGCGCGGGAGAGGGACCAGGTGTTGGCCTCGGGGGGGCTCCAGAGTTCCCGGGGCCGGGGGGTGCTTGCGGGCTGGGCTCAGGTCTCCGGGCATCACCTTTCTGTCCCTGTTCTCGGTCTCTTGCCCCCTCCCCCATCCCCGCTGCCCAAGCCCGGCCAAGCTCCGCCTCCGGCATCTTTTCCCGGCCCGGGGCAAAGCCAAGCCTTGGTCTTGGTCCAAGTGTTTCGCGCCTCCGGAAAAAGGCAGCGGTCTAAATATGCAATCCCCTGGTTTTGTTTGTTTTAAGCGGTTACCGAGAACCTTTGCCCCCGCCCCACAAAAAAACTGCGGTTGAGGACGCGTTCTGGTTGTCACTCCTGGGCTCAGATTCCTCGGCGGGGGCGGGGCGGGCGGGGAGTGGAAGGTTTGAGATCGAGGTCTGTGGCGGCCGTGTGTGTTTACACGAAATTCAAGTCTGCTGAGCGCAGTGCTATCGCGCGGCCGGTGGAGGTGTGAACGCACCACCGAAAGGTAAATGGCAAGTCCTGTGTATCCACAACAGCGCTTTACTTTAAGATGCCTGTGAAAAGGACAGAAATGATTTTTTTCCAGATCTCCCAAATACTAACTTATAAATCAGCACCCAAATGCAGTTCTGTCTTTTACAGTGCATCATCAGATTCTTCCCAATTCCCTGTACTATACGATCCAACTTATATATTTTTTAAGTTGCTTAATCTTCTAGACTCTAGAATTTATGCATTACAAGAAAATTTCATTTGTCGGAAGGCCAAGTTAGAGTTTGGAAAAATAACAATTTTCTGTTATGTTTTGGGCCTTCTCTAAAGGAAGTGTGGGGCTTTCTTCACTTGGAATATCCAGAGTTTCTTCCTTATCATTTCTTAGCAGCCATCACTTCGAAGAGACAGCATAAGGAGTTCATTTGATTACCAGTGACATTTAAATATTTATGAAATTAAAAAGTTGTAACTGCAAGTCTGATTCATGGACCGTCAAAAAAAGTAGGGAACATAGGTGAGAGATGCAAGAACATTTTGTTAAACATTCATCATGCCATGTGAAGGCTATTCCTGAACATTTTCAATGATTTTAAAAGGTTTCTTAAATTATTAACCATTAAAATTTTTATTTTGCTTGGTTGGGAGTTTGCCAGCCATGCTTCCAGGTTTCCAGTGTGAAAATACAAGACGCCTAATCAGTGCACGTACATTTCTCAGATTTCATTAGCAAGCTGGGCAACCATTTCAACCCTGCTTCTCATCTAAGTTATCAGTTGAAACAACTAGAATTCTCAAAACCTAAGGAGATAGGAACCCAAGATGATTCATGCATACCAAGGATTGTTATTCCCCATCCCTGTGGCTAGTATGGTTGTGCAAAATTGATGTCAGCTATCATTATTCCATTATGTTTGCTTGGTTCTACTCTAAGGAACAACTTTGAGATGTCTACTTTACAAATTAGAATATTGTAACTCAGAAAAATTAAGCAGCTTGCCTGGAATCATACAGCTGCGACATGATAAAGCTAGGATTTGCACTTACATAAATCTGATCTCACAGCTATGTTCTTCCAGTTGCATCACAAAGAATAGTCAGTGCTTTATTTTGCTTAATACTGAGCTATTATTCTTTCCTCATTTCTGTCTTTCCTTCTATATGGGAAACTCAGTATTTTTGTCTTCTCTTTTATCTTTTTGGAGGTTAATGAAAGGTGTCTAGTATGAGAAAGGATTAGAGAATTGATATTCTAGACTTAAAATATTTAATTCTAGTCAGTACAACATTATGAAACACACAAGTATCAACTCTATAGGAAAAATAACCTATTAATAATGCTACAGCACAGTGTTCTGCCCATGAACAGTATTGGTGCATTGACCTGAAATCCTACATATTTAAAAGCACGTGGGTTGAAACAACCTCTGATTTGCTTTGTGTGTGGACTTCAGGATATGCAAAGGGATAGGTGTGGGCAGATTTGAACATTGATACTGAAACAGGTAATTCATCTTTTACATTCTAAAAGAGGAACAAACATCTATTGACCACCCGTGATACTATATTATCTATATCACCTATTGCATATATTATCTCATTTAGGTCTTCAATAAACCTGACTATTATTTTAGAACACTTCATAGGAAATAGTGAAAGCTAACATTTATATCAGTCATGTTATGTTCTTAACTCATGCTATGTCTGTGCTTTCAGCAATAACTATCTAGCACAGTCCAATAGAACTTTTCCATGAGAAAGGAAGTGTACTGTATCGTCACTGTCCTGTATGATAACCCCTAGACACATGTGCCTTTTGATTACTGAAATTTTAAATCTTATTTTATTTTAGTCAGTTGAATTAATTTAAACAGCCACATGTGGCTAGTACCTGCTGTGTTGGACATTGCAGCCTTTGCCAATGATATTATGCCCATGGTTCGGAGAAGTTAATGAAGCGTGCCCAAGTTCATACAATTTTATAGAAACAAGTTTCTGAGCGGAGGAATGTCCTAGGGATGTTGCTGGGGCAGTGCATGCAGAATGGATGGAGGAGAAGGAGAAGGGCAGGTGAGCCGAGGGAAGTGAGACTCCAGCCTGACTGACTGAACTGGGACTGGGAGGAGGAATGGTTGCGGATGACCGGAGGCAGAATTGCCATCACTTAGTGGCAGCATGTGAGGGCTTTAGAAGGGAGCGCCTAAGGTTACTTCGAGGTCTTAGGATCTGGGTAACCCGGAAAAATGGTCATGCTGCTCACTAAAATAGGAAAATCATGAGCCTTTTTGGGGTTTAAGAGGATTTGGTTTTGGCTGTTTGTTCATCCTAAAAATATTTGTTGAGCAAGGCCCTCTGAGGTACTTCGGTACAGAAGTAGAGTCCCCGTTAAGGATTGTAGCCACTTAAGACACCTTCCTCCATTTTCATACTGGGGAGGCTGATGAGCAAACCCAGTGTTTTTTTGAGGCAGGGGTGCCTATTTCTAGATAGAAAGGGATTGGGGAAGGGGCTGTGGATGGAAAATGGTATTTGAGCTCGATTCTGAAGACTAGGAAGGATTTGGACGTGCAAAAAGGATTACATGAGGAAGAGTTTATGCTTTCTGCAATGGGGTGGACAAAATGTTTTGGAACTCCCTTTTGCCAAAACACCTAAATACTGAATAAATTATGTTAACCTTTTAAATGCATAGCAGGTCTTGTAGGAAAGAAAGGGAAATCGCCAAGGGTAAAAAAAACTCAGAAAGCTGAGACAAGAGTCATAAACTACCAGTGTGTCTCTTCGGGGGTGTTTGGCTGAGAGCAAAAATGGAGGACAAGTGGGGATAGGGGATAGGCTCCCCCTGCTCCCCACCCAAGATAGAGAGAAAAAACCACCCCCCTTTGGTCGTCCAGGTGTACAGTTTCTAGAGGTACCATTCATGTGGTAGTTTGTGCAAATGTAAAAAGTCATCCTGTGTTTCAGGGGATGACTTTTTCATAACAAGTAAAATGTAAATATTTCTACTTGAGCTTCTACAACTCATGGCCTTGAACAAGCCCCTTTCCCCCTAAAGTAGCCATAACTCTCAAAAAATCTACCAAAAAATCAGTGGAAGGTAGGCTAGGAACAAAATATCTCCTTTGCAAAGGAAGAGCATAAAGAAATTTATTCATTTCCACCATAGCTCCAGGTAGGGGGATAAAGGTTACACCTGAGAACAGAAACTGGTAACGGCTCTAGATGTTAGACCTCAGTCCTTGAATTGAGCTAAGAATTCAGAGCCAAGGAACTTGAATACAATTGAAGGTTTATTTAGAAAGTCACAGGGGTAGAAGAGGTGAGCCAGCAGGGCTGCGTGGGCTCAGGAAACAAGTCACAGAGGCAGAAGAAGGGCCCTTGGAGCTTAGGAGAAAGAAAACGTGCTGGGGCTGGAAGGAAGGAGAGGGAGAGGGCAGACGCGCTCCAGAGAGCGCCCACGTTGGGCAAGAAAGGGGTGAGGAGAGGTCCCTGCAGGAACTCTGTGCTCTAGAGAGAGTGCTAGTGCACCAGGTCCTTTGTCTTAAGGGCTTTTTTATCGGGAGGTTTCAGGGGAGGATCTCAATAGAATATTCATCAGCTCTCCAGGTGTGTCTCCAGTGCAGGGTCCTGGTCTGCACTGATTGGTCAGCACCAGGGCAGGGGATCGGAAGTCAGTGCTGCTGGTCCTGGTGGGGGTCCTGGTGTCAGCCCGGTCCTGGTGTCAGCCCTGGCGTGCTCCTCCCGGCCTTGCTGCTTCAGAAGCCTAGTTGTTACCTCCGGTGTGACTACAACTCTGTCTGTGTTGTCAGCAGACCCAAGGCTTTGTTTCTGAGATTATTTGCTTCAGGCCAGAAACTCATTGTTTTAAGGGCTTAATGCTTAAGGGATTGTTTGCTCAAGAGCTTGTATGGGGTCCTGTGAGGCTTTTCTCTGGCCCCCTTGTTGTCCTCTAAAGGGGTCTGCCTGGTGACGGTGACTAGCGATATGCTGGGGGAGGAAAGGTTGCCCTGAGGGCAAGGTCCCACCCTGTAATACTTGTCCTGCTCGGTACCCGGGGCCTTCCGCCCTGGTGACCTCTCTCTCAGGCCTGCCCTTGCCAGTCTAGCTCGCTGCTGGATCAAAACTACGGGGTCTGCCATCGCTCGGATTCAGGGTTCAAACTGACATGAGCTAAAACTCCTGGAAATGAAGAAGGAAAAGTTCGCCCAGGTTGGTGACATGTCAGAGTACCTAGCGAAATACATACAGATCCTCCCTGGAATCACTGCCCCTTATTCTCAGCCTTTGAGGGTACTCCCAGCTGAGCTCCTCATCAAAGACCATAAAACTCACGTGCAGGGCTTGACAAAACCAAACATGTGGCGCTAGACTCCTGGGAGTTTAGATTGGAACGATCGGAAACAAATTCAAATAACACTTAAAGAGGTGAACGGAGAAAAAAGAGTTTAGAAGAACTGTAGTTCAAAATATGTAGAAATTGAAAATTATTGTCCCAGAAACCCGTGCTGGAAAAAGCACTATAGGAATTTAGTCAGGAACTGTGATTAACTAAAGAGACGAAGAAAGTTGATGAACTGTTAAGGACCAACAAGGGAAAAAGAACAGGAAGGAGGAGATTATGATAACTAATACTGAAACTATTCAAATCAAGTCTATAATGGCAGCTTTAGGGACAAGGGAAAAGAAACTAACTTGGCAGGATTTCAAAATACATGTTTAGCAGTAAGTCAGATGAGCAGAGGAAATGACAGGTCCAAGGCGGAGAGGCCGGAGATGTCAGCGTTTGGGAAGTCGAGAGGAAGAAGCTGAGCGCCCTGGAGGAGAGGTGGAGATGAACGTTGTGAGATTTGGCAAAGCTTATGGGAAATACTCAATTTCAGCCCGTTAAACTATGAGAAGACACTCTGTATCCATGACATTATTTTCACATGCCTACAGTAATTTCTTACAATTTGAAGGTATTTCTATATTTATTTTTTAAAATTGCATCCATGAGGAGACACTTCTGTTTTCTAAGTCACGTTATTGATCCATTATTACTTACCAACATCCTCAGTCTGGAGTATAAGGAAGAAAGTGGTGATGTATATCCTGTGTATGTTTAGGCCCTCTCTTTTTTTCCTCCCTCATGTAGGAGCTGGAAATATAATGGTGAACAAAGCAGTTGGTTCCTGTTCTCAAAGAACTTAAAGTTTAGTAAGGAAGATAAAATCAAACAAGCAAGTAACAGGTAAGCGTTGTTGAGTGTCCCGGTGGGGAAGTGAAAAGGTGCTCTCGGAGACAAAGCAGGGACACTCCGCTGAAGGCGAAGAGTTGAGACTTGGAAATGTGTAGGAGTTCACAGGTGGGAGTGGGCAGGGAGGGTGACAGCACCGTGGTCTCCTCACCCAGACAACGCAGTGTCACGAAGGTGCTTGAGAGAGCGCGACACACTGCAAGATATGAAAGAAGCTTGCTGTGGCCGCGTGGCATAGCAATGGGTGGTAGAATGGAATTGCCTGAGTTTGAAGCTTGTCTCTGCTTCCCCATGACCTTGGGCAATTCTCTTAACCTCTATAGCCCTGTTGAGAGGAGTAAATGAGATCGAGTATTCAAAGGGCTTAGTAACACTGTTGACACAGAGTAAACATTGTGTTCGCTTTTGTAATGATGATGAGAAAGGAATTGGGAGCAGACAGAGTGGCCAGAGAGGAATATAGCAAGTAAGAGATCAGACGGTGTGGAAGGACCTTGTAGACCATGTTAAGGAGGAAAGAACATTTATAAGGACACAGGCAAAGCGCTGAAAGATTCTTCCTAGAAGAAGGTGGTCAGATTGGCATCTTAAAATTAGAAGGATCACTGTGGGTTTAGGGTGGATCCCTAATCTCTAGGTTGGGTGGACCACTCTCTAGGTTGGTCGTGGTGCAGCCCACAGGAGGGCCGTTCAGTGGGTTATGATAATAAGCCGGCCGAGGTATGGTGGTGGCTTAGGTAGGGTAGTGGCAGTGAGGATGGAGAGGAGAGGTGGATTGTAAGGGCGAGGAGGAATAAACAGGACTTGGTACTTGATTTTGTGGGGAAGAATGGGAGAGAAAGGGGTTTCCGGACATGGCAGGTGGGTGGATCTTGGTTTCATTTGCTGAGAAATCGAAGGAGAGCGGATGTTAGTGGGTGGTGTGCGGGATGGTTTCAGGAGGGACAGCTCAGCGTGCCAAGTCCAAGGCTGGGGGAGGGGATGGCTAGAGGAGAGTAAATGAAATCTTGTGAACAACCTTGTCTGATTGTTTGTTTCTGACCTCAGAAGACCCGTTTGAGATGTGGTGGTTTCAGCAAGGTCTCAGCTTCCTTCCCTCGGCCCTTGTGATCTGGACGGCCGCCGCCTTCATCTTCTCGTACATCACCGCCATAGTGCTCCACCACGTGGACCCTGCTTTGCCTTATATCAGGTCAGCGACGTGCACGTTATCGGAGAACGTTTACGCCTCACTCATGGTCTAACGTTGAAGCTGAGATTTAACGTTAGCATTTTAAATTCAGATTCTGTGTTTGGCATCGCAGCGATAAGAGGAACATCACACGGAGGGCGCGTTTGGCTCTCTCTGTGGGACGGAGAAGCGTGGAGACGGAGGGCTGAGGCTCCCCTGGGGAGCTGCTGGGTGAATTGGGGCACTTCAGCGCCTTGTCCTCCAAGCAGGCGTTTGAAAGCGTCTCAGCCGATAGACTTGGAGTAGCTCTCACCTTAAAACGTAAAAAATGCTGCAGACAACAATAATATTAAAAGATAATAGTAATAGCAAACATTGATGGATCTACTTACAACGTACGAGGTGATGTTCTCAGCATCCTTCGGGCCTTAAGTAGTTGAGTCCCTACAGCCATCCTTTGAGGCAGAGACCATACTCCCACCTGAGGAAATGAGGTCCGAGAGGTTAAGTTATTTGTCCCGAGTTACGCGGCTCAGTCACGGATGGGACCAACATCCGATTTCCTGGGTCAGCTTGCCTCTAGAGGCTGTGCTCTTAGTTTTTATGACAAGTTGTCCAGATCTTGTTGGCACATGAAGTATCAAAATTTACTGGTAGTATTTTTGAAAATTACTAATAAGCATAGGTACTTAATTTCATGGATGTCCGTAACCTTTCTTTCCCGACTATAAAGACAGGACGTGCTTATTTTAACAAACTTGAACAATACCAGGGCGATGATAAAACAAACAGTTGGCCTCCTGTTCTCACCTCCCCTCAGTTCCTGCCTCCACGCGAGCAGTCAGTGGTGTGGCGGATTTCTTTCCAGAATTCGGTCTATTTTGGTGGTGTTGGAGTTGTTTCATTTATTTGTTTGCCTTCTGAAAAAAAATAACTCTTCTAATACACAAAATAGTAAACTTTTAAAAGGCAGTAAACCCACAGGGAAATCTGTGTTTTAGAAACGTCAAGGAGCGACCCGGGCGCACCCTCGCACTGGCCTCCACGTGGGGTGTGTGACACAGGAAGGGTCGACCGGCCGGGCGTCCTTGGGGGGGGACGTACGAAACCCCAAGATATTTCCTAAAATTTAAGGTTTCAATTCTAGGGGTAATTTGATAAATAATCACTGCTGCTTACTGCTCTGCCAGAGTGTGTGCGGCTTAAAGAGCCAGGTCATTCTTCCGTAACTCCGGGAGAAGGTACATAGAAAAGGTTCACGAGGGTCCTGCGTTTTTATTTCCCCTTCAAAAACTTGTTGCTTTCATTTTGAAGAGTTCAAAATAATTTAAGAGGCCCTTTGAGTTCTTCAGTTTCAGTTCTCTGATGGTGCTGCATGTGATTTCCTGACAAATAGTCCCGTAGACACTTCCTTTCCTGTCCCTGTCTTTTTTTCTGCTAGTAGATTTAGTGTTATTACCCTAGGTTCTTGCCCCAACATTATAATGTATCTAAATTCAATGGTACTTAACTTTGATTTCTCTTAAGCTCATTTCCTTTGTCTGAAAAATGAGTAAGTTAAACTGGTTCCTTTCAGTTCATAAACCATAACTGAAAGGTTTGTTATAGCTGCCAAGCGCATAACCAAAAGTAAATTTCACTTTAGAGACAATTCTACTGCAAGTCGGCTTCTGGTGTTTTAGGTTCAAGTGGTGGGCGCCCAGGAAGGGTGCTTGAGACTGGCCCCTGGGGTATGAGAAGAAATTATTAGAACTTCCTTTGTGTATTTCTTATATCTCAAAATATTTAAGCTTAATATAGGGGTAATAATAATACATACATTTTGAAATTAGATGGTGAGACATTCTTTCAGTGGTGTGTTAGCCACATAGTGTGCTGAGCAGGGGGCCGCAGTGCCTTGCGGGTGAGGGGTGGGTGTGGCGGATTTCATTTGGAGGCCAGTTTATGTCTGTGTTCCGGGGGGGGGGGGGCAGGGAAGGAGCCCACCCAGTCACCCAACTTGGAGATGCATGCTTTTGTTTACTTTTTTGGCTAATCCAAAACAAGAACATCATTTGGAATGCAACTACTGAAATTGTGCTGATTTTTCTGATAGGAATAATATATTATTGAAGAGTTGAAAGGTAGAGGGATCACCAGCAACAAAAAACCAAAATCCTCACTCCCTGAACATGATCAAAGGGTAACAGAATCTTTTGTATCTGATGATACATTGTAGAGTAGGCCTTCAGATTCATAGTTGATACTTTACTAAATCCATATTGGATACTTTTCTTAAACTTAATTGAAATGTTCACTGAGTTTTCCTGATGCCTTACCAGAAATGACTTTATATTCTTTTTTTATTCCCAATACGTTGTCTTAGTCGAGATCCTTATTGTCTCTGTCTTGCAGCACTTCAAGGCCAAAGACTTTGTCTCTTTCGCCTTTACAGTAGTTGAGGGAAGGGAAAGGAGCCAACAGTTAACGGGTCCCCTGTGGCCTGCGGCTCTGGTAGGCCTTTCATGTGCGTGACCACAGTTTCAGTTCTCTGTCCACCCAGCGAGGCTGGGAGGGGATTAGTAGCTCCATTTTGCAGATAGTCTTAGGAAGATAAAGGAACACTCCCAGGCTCCACCGTTAGAAGATGGTGGGCCGTTAAACTGGATCTGTGCGTGCCGAGGTCCCCAGTCTCCAGGCCCTGCGCCGGCCCGCTGAGGTCCGTCCCCCATCGCCCTGTCCTCCCTGCTCCCCACAGTGGGGCAGCAGCAGGCCACGCCCACCGGAGCTCCCCTAATCCATCCCCAGCAGGCATGCGCTCCGCTTCCTGGCACATCCCTCCCAGGCCCCCACGTCTTCCACGAAACGGGTCCCTGGTGCCAGAAAGGTTGGGGACCCCTGGTGTGCGCCATACTGCCCTGAAAGACAGGCATCGCAATGCACAGTAATAGCCGGTTTCCGTAGAGGTCTGGACAGAAGGCTGTGGGAGTGGGCACTCCGCTAGGGGACTGGCCAAAGCCAGGGGGAGGCAAGGGCTCAAACTGCTCTTGAAGAGAAGTTCCGGGAGGCCAAGGGCTTTGTCCCCTTTACTTACCACTGTATTCCTCTCCCCAAAACGCTGTCTGGCATACGGAAGGTGCTTGATAAATAGTTTTTAATGAATCAGGAAATGACTAGATGTTCATTGAATTATAGACAGAGTCAACGGCAGACAACGAAAGACAGAGTTGTAAAATGACCTGTGACACTTGGGGAATATTCAGGAGAGACAGATAAACATCTTCCTGACCGACGTGAGTCAGTAACACATTCTTTACATGCTAAGGGTAGCGTTTTATCAGTTTACATTGATTTTATTATGTGGAAAAAAAATAATCTTAAGTGATATGAAAAAAAGTGAATGAGACAAATACTGTGAGCTCAGCTTGTCATATTCCATTGTGAAATTATAAGAGTTGAACGTGGGTTTATAAAAAGAAAAAGGACTTGAAGTAACCGCCATTATTTCTCACCCCTTAGAAGAAACCCACACACTTTCTTTCCTTTTCTTTCAGTGACACTGGCACAGTCGCTCCAGAAAAATGCTTGTTTGGGGCGATGTTAAATTTCGCCGCAGTTTTATGTAAGTAATGGGAGTGGTTTTAACGATCAAAATTAATAGCTAAGTTGCCCCTTGCATCTTTAGACAATATTGTTTTACTTCTTAGTTACTATACTTGAGAGAATGTTATCACTAAGTTATCAGTCATGTCCCTTTTAAAAGAAAAACAATTTCTAGAAATGCTGAATTATGGAAATAAATCTTTTTTAAAAGACTTTATTTTTAGAGAGAGGGGAAGAGAGGGAGAAAGAGAGGAAGAGAAACATCAGTGTGTGGTTGCCTCGCAAGCACCCCCTACTGGGGACCTGGCCCGCAACCCAGGCCTGTGCCCTGCCTGGGACTCAAACTGGCGACCCTTAGGTTCACAGGCTGGTACTCAATCCACTGAGCCACACCAGCCAGGGCTGGAAATAAATCTTTAAAAAAAAACAAAAACAATTACAGGGCTATTTGACTACTCATTCGAATACGTTGCAAAATATAAACAACTATTCCTTGAGGCCTTAAGTCGATTTCTTAAGCACCCAGTAGAGGACAAAGAGCTGTAAACACACTGAGCCCAGCTAACCCCAAAATTCCCGTGGGATGAGTCATTCAGAAGTTGGAGAATGACAGTGGAACCTTGTTTTGATTTTTGAGTGATAGTCTTATGCCAAAGGGATGGCATTCTACAGTATTTTACATTCCTATTGATTACTTATTTGTCAAACCAAATTCTTATTAATGGTTTACTACAATGTTTTCTCCACCAGTTGTGGTTGTTTTAAATATTTGCATTCTTTCATACAAAGTCAAAAATTAAAGTCGAATAAGTGATTATCTGCTTCACTCTCATTTCATTTTATTTCAAAATCCTACAATTTGCCTCAAGCAGACGTAGCAATTACACAGAAGGAAAAAACACATTATTATCCTTGTTAGTCAAGAAAGGGCCAACTCAAACTTCCCATTGCAAAAATATTACCAAAGAACTCAAAAGTATAGAAAATGCAGCTTTTGTAGACATTTTAAAAACTTTAGTGATAAGCTGAATTTCTTATCCATATTCTAGAACTAATCACTTTAGACTTTATCATTAAACATATATTTTGTTTTACATAACATTTATCACTAGAGATTTTCAGAAAACATCGAACTTGTCTCTTAAATTTTATCCTAAATATTGGTAAATATGAACCCCCTGGGAGCATATGACTTGCTCAGTTCCACAGAGATATCAGTAGTTTTATAATGCAACCTTAAATTTTCTCTAAAATCTACAGCTTTCTTTGTGTGTGGGGCGGGGGGAGGATCATCTTTCAAGTTAACTTTAAAAGGAAGATCGATGTTTCTGGATAGCGGTGACCTTTGTGAACTTTTTATTGGCAACTTTATTTCTTGGTTGTTTATTAATTGTTGTTTTTTGGATTCTCTCTTCGCAGGCATTGCTACCATTTACGTTCGTTACAAGCAAGTTCATGCTCTGAGTCCTGAAGGGAATTGTATCATCAGATTAAACAAGGCTGGCCTTGTACTCGGATTGCTGAGTTGTTTAGGACTTTCTCTTGTGGCAAACTTTCAGGTTTGGGTTTTAACCAAGCATATTTTCCTAAAGTTCCCGAGTATACCTGTGACAAAGAAAACCTGGAGCATTCAGTGACTTGCTGTTACTGTTTCTTTTCCTTAACAAAACAGAATCCACTGCTTTGAAATTATTGGACCCATTTAGAAATAGCCACATTCACAATTAGAAAATTCCATTCTCAGTAATCTCTTGACCAAATATAAATTATTTTATCTTTTTAAGGACCTACAGAACTATTTATTAGACTCTTTATTACTACTTACTAGGCTACTCCAAGACCAGAAAGAATCGACATAAATCTAAGCGACACAATTACAGATTTAAACTGTCTTTTCTAATATGCCTGGCAAGCGACACTCCTTTACGTGTGCTGCGCCCTTGTTCAGATGTTCCCACCGATCGCTCGCACTCCCAGGTGCCCAGTCCTTAGGTGAGGCAGCAAAGGAAGGATCTGTAGCTCTTCCAGCTTTTTCTCAGGAACTCTTAATGTTGAAGTAGCCATCAGCCTTCCCCAAGCATTTGCAAACTCTCCACATTTCTTTCTGTCGATGTTCTTTCAGGTAAGTCTTTGATACGGCCAGTTGCATGCTGGGCCTATGGTGCTTTTCGATGGATCCCTCTATGGCATTTAAAGTTTCCATTTAGATATTTGATAACCTAGTTGGACATCTAATAACTAGTCAGACATAAGAACACACATCAAACAAATGCATATATTAGAGGCATATTCTGTCTCTCTTATTTTAAAGTTCTCCATTTCGATAATGTTTCTGATGGGCCTCTCCTATTTTTCGGTGTTTTAGTAATGATTAACACCAGTAATCTCTGTAAGTATAATCCAGGTGGATATTAGGTAGGGCTTGCTGCTGAAACAAAGCCTAGAATTCCCGTGTTTTAACACAATAGAGGCTTCTTTCACACACACGTGCCTCCAGGGTATGAACAACGGAGATATGAAGGAGGCGAATGATTCAGAATGAGGTTAGAGAGGTACAGAGCAGCCCAATCACATAAGGCCTTTGAGTAAATTAAGCAGTTTGGCAGTTTATCACATTACTTTTTCTCTCTCAATTGCGTCTCTCTTCATGTGACTTTGGATCTGTGAATGTTGAGCAGGGCGGGGACAGCCTCCTTCTGCATCGTCCCCTTGCTATTGTCTCCATTGTACACGCACTGGCCTGCCTTTGTTCGCTAAACAAGGCGAGTTTCCTTTCCTTTCTTACGTTGTTTCTGCTGTTGGACACTGTTGGACACGTCCCAACCCGAGCCTGAGCAGATCCAAGCATCTTTCAGATCTCAGAACCGCACAGACTGTCTTTTCCCAGAGAAGCCTTTTCTGTTCATAGATGTGCTCCTGGATATTCCAGGTTTTCTTTCTTTGTGTTCTCCAAATGGAAATTAATTCATCATAGCACTTATTATAATCTAATTTTATAGCCGTGGCTTTTAAATTTTGTTTTGAAAAATTTTACTCAAATGTATTTCTCCATTAATTATGGGCACAGTGTTGTTCACTGTTGCATATTCAGCACCCAGCAAAACTTAGCACAAACATGCTCTTATTACAAGTTTAGTGCCAGCTTATTGAGAGAGGCCAGAGGGACTAAGTAGGATGAATAAAAAAATCTCTTGCTATTACTGTAGTTATCGGCATTGAAAGTGACCTAATAATTATAATATGGCTTTTCAGAAATCTGACTTAAAAATACAAATTTAATTTCTTTGGAAACAACTGTGTAATAATAATCATCAGCAAAACAAATACATGGGAAGTGTATTCAATGCCTACTTAGAGGAAATTTTCTCTTCCTAGGAAATTTATCCTCAAGGATACTTGGAAGGGATAAGTAGGCAGACATCTATATTAATTTCCTAGCTACCATGTAACCAAACACCACAAAGCAGTTTTAGATACTTCTATCCTAGTAAGAAAAATATAGTAGGAAATGTTCTCCGTTCTTTATTTTTGCTTTTTACTTCACAGGATTTTGTTCATAGGACTGTGTAGGGATCACAGTGCGTGTTGATCGGGCTGTATCTGTGGTTAGCTTCATCAGTGTTTGTGGGAATATTTTTAAGGAGAAAAATTTATCCATTTTTCTGTTCTTAGCCCTAAAATAATTAATTTCATTTTTGCCTATTTTTCTAGCCTTTATGTGTAGATAAATCCATGTAATTAAGAACAAAGGAAATATTAGCATTTTGCATCACATTTTATGGTAGCTGAATTTTTTTTCTGTTACACAAAGTGGTAATGACAATGAATTTTTTTCTCTCCTTAGTGCTTATAACTTACTGCCAGTTTTAACACACAACTGTTTTGAGGTCTCCCTGTCTCTCTCCAAAAAGAAACCAATGCCTTTGACAAATAAATTGTTATACTTTACTTCTTCATACTAGAAACTGTCTGTATCTTCAACTGAGAAAATTGGGCTGTGTTTGTGAGTTAGCCTCTTGCTTGTAAAATGAGGGGCCCAAGCCCTGGCCTCTCTCCTTTGTTCCCTGGGTCAGACGCTCAGTGCCAGGCGCTGCACTGGGTACCTTCCCAACCAAGTGGAGCACACAGCGTCTGATCAGAAAAATAGAGTGGTCTGAAGGAAAACTTTCGATTGTAGACTTTTTAGAGAGCTATGGCCATCATGTTTTAAGCAATGGGTATTACAGTAAAAAGGAAAAAGTAAATGGATACTGATAAGTAAGGTAAAGGAGAAAAATTATAATTTATGATAATCTCTTGTTGCATGTTATCAGAACCAGTTAAACTAGAACCAAGAGGGAATGTTGTAATTTCTTGAGCCTTTAAATTGTATTTAGATTTAAATTGAAACTTTCTACCCCAATATTCCCAACCATCTTAATCCTTTCTATCTTCCATTCTTTTTTCCTAATGCTTGTCACCATCTAACATACTATGGAATTTACTTATTCCTAAAGTTTATTATTTATTGTTTGCATTGCTTCACTTGACTGTAAACTCTGGGGCCATATTTTTGTTCTTTTTTTTTTCACTAATACACCTGAATACTAAACAGTTCCTGACATACAAGAGGTACCCAAATAAACATATTAAATAGATGAATAATTACTATCATATTTTTAGTTATGACCTATGAAATAATTTGCATTACTACAATCCACAGGTTTATGCTGAATATTATGAAAGAAAGTGACCCCAGGAAGTAATCAGTTCAGTGTGCAGAGGGTTTCCACTCAGTGCGTGTCCTAGTGACAGCGCAGGCTTGCACTGTCAGCTCCCGTGGTGGCAGTATATATCGGTTCCTCTCATTTCTTATCTCTTCTCTCTGTCTCGCAGAAAACCACCTTTTTCACTGTGCACGTGTGTGGAGCCGTGCTCACCTTTGGTATGGGCTCGCTGTACATGTTTGTGCAGACCGTCCTTTCCTACCAAATGCAGCCCAAAATCCACGGCAAACACATCTTCTGGATCAGGCTGCTCTTGGTCATCTGGTGTGGAGTAAGTGCATTTAGCAGTATCCTTTGCTGTGGCATGCGGCTCTGCTGGGAAGGGAATTGAGTAACAGAATTTAAGTGAACACTGTTGGCGTAGTGTAAACAGTCCTTTTGTGGACAGCAAGATTCTTGGGTTAGTGGCCCTAAGTTCAAGGATTTGAAACATGAAATGTGAATTTTACATAGGACCTCAGTAACTGACCTAGGAACAAAGATAATGTTCAGCCTCATCATGCTCACTTCAGAGATGTCGTGGGTGAGGTAACGCCTTCCCTGAGAACAGTTACGTAGCGGAAGCTTGTGACAGAGGCGCCGAGTGACTGAACAGGGGCAGGGGTTGACTATGGGGACGATTTCACAGTGAGCCTTCGGGCACGTTTAGTTCTCCTACTGCCGTGTAATATGAAGTCTTCAAGAAGATGGGTTTGGATCTTGGAAACGAATATATACGAACAATCTTTTGGATTATTATTATTACTATTATTTTGAGAGTACATCTTTAAAGCCGGGGACAGTGAAACAAAGAAGTGCTTAGGACAGAAGAAGCAACTGCAGAGAGAGCCCAGGTGGGGCTGCCGGCAGCTCACTGAGCAGTCGGAGAAAGGGGCCTTGGGGGCTGGGCCAGGGCTTGGGCCGAGACAGGCCGCCGCTGCCCACTGCTCCCCTGGGTGCAGGTCTCACGGGGACCGTAGAGTCTAGGAGATGCTTGTCTGCGGGGGGAAGAAAAGGGCGCAGCCGTGCTCTGGGGAGGGAGGCCGTGCCCCTTTTGGACCTTGAAAGCAATTTGTGTGTTAAATCTAATTTAAACTCACAGCCCTTGTCTGAGAATCTTCCTTGACTGACGTCTCTCCTAGTGCTGACTTGCTCGTCACTCTTGTACAGTGGCAGTTTTGGCACAGACATAGTACAGAAACTCCACTGGAAACCCGAGGACAAAGTAAGAACTTAAAGAGTCTAAAAAGCTTCGTTTTATATTGCAGATGAATTTTAATGTGTTTTTCATTTCATCACTAACAATGAAACATTGTCAGTAGAACAATCAGTTATGTATTAGCAATATTTTCTCTATATACTAAGCATCTATGTAGAATCATCCATATACTGTCACCTGTGGTCTGTGGACATTTTGAAGCCATGAAAAGAACTGGGATGGGAAAGAGTTTCCTCAGAAATTGACTCTTCAAAATAAAGATATAGTAATAGTATACAATATACCCAACTGAGGTCTTCTATTATTAGAATACTTGTCTTCTGAATTGAAAAAAAAAGTCTTCTCCCACTTTTTATTATCGGCAAGTGTGTAATCACGGACACTGCATTTGGGTTACATAATATAGTAGATAACAGAACAGAGATAACATCTTTGATCCCAAGGGAAAAAAGAGGAGGGACATACTCAACAGATAATAAAGTGAGTGTGTCTGTTTTCACAAACCACTCAGTGGCATTTTATTTTAAATTATTTTGAAAGAATCAGTCCTAATAGGACTGATGTTTGTGAAAATGAATGAATGAATGAAGTAATTGACATGATTCTCTGAAGTATGGTCCATATATTATTTAATGCTTTTAAAAAGAACCCTAAGTTTATCAGGAGTGTTGTGTACTTCAGTTGTTTTTTTTGGGGGGGTGGGGGTGTGAATCTCTGGCTTTGGAAAAGCCAGTAACTTCTTGACTGTTGAGTAGAAATTCTCTTCTGTCCTGGTTATTCAAATGGAACTTTTACATTCTCTTGACACAACTGTGATAGCCAGATCATTTTGGAGGACTTTCAAGTCTGCCTTTAATTCTCAAGATATATCAAAAAAAGTCAAGGGCTTATAAGCATTATGGGTTTTGTATTTGAGAGAAATTAATAGACCATTTGAACGGAATTTCACAGAACCATCCTTTCTTGTCATTGTCACCCAGGGCTATGCGCTTCACATGGTCACTACTGCAGCAGAATGGTCTATGTCATTTTCCTTCTTTGGTTTTTTCCTGACTTATGTCCGTGATTTTCAGGTAAGAAAACACAGATTTAGATTAATGTGGCCTAATTTCCTTAAGGTGGAATACGAGAACTTTCTAAAGGCAAGTCTTCAACCGTTCAAACACTAACTTCCCAAGCAGTGATGCCCGAAGAGAACTTTTTCACATGAATTGTTTCTCTCCTTGCAGAAATAGTGTATTACTAGCAAGACTTGGCTTTGAAAATGGGCTTGTAAAATGATCACATTTGTAGAAATCCTTTTTTAGAAGTTTTGTCAACCCTGCCTGCACGTACGATGGCCATCCTCAATGTTTAGTTTTACTGATTCTTCATAGGAATGAAAGAAAAATGAACGACCTCTAAATAGAGAAGCATGGTTTTCCCAGCTCTACCAGAACTGCAGATGATATCTTTGGTGGTACAACATCTGTCTCATTCTTGTTACTCATTAGAATTGATTTATGTTCCTAATCCCAAAAGATACTCTTCAGAACATACTGAAGATGTGATCTGTCAGTAAAGAACAAACTTCTGTATATAATTTTCTTTTCTGTTCCAGAAAATTTCTTTACGGGTGGAAACCAGTTTACACGGATTAACCCTCTACGACACGGCTCCTTGTCCTATCAACAACGAACGAACACATCTACTCTCCAGAGATTTCTGATGGAAGAATAAAATACTTCTGTGATGACTATGATTCTCAGGGATTGGAAAAGATTTATAAGTTACTTCGCTGAAATTTTCAAGCAGTTAATCATGGCTGACAGTGACATTGGTGGGTTTTGATAAGAGACGTGAATTAAGCCATTTTATAAATTATTTTAAAGGATATCTTCAAGCGGATCATGTAAAAAACATTTATGCCTATACTTTTTTTTTAATCCCAGAAAATAAAACCAAAGGACTATAGCACTGTAGATTTTTTTTTTCTGCTTTAGGTAAAACAGCAGAATTGCACCACGCAGTCTGCAAGACCCAGCATTTTGTGTTAGAAATTATTGTAAAATACCGCTTTTTTCCTGGAATCCACCTGTAAAGGGAAGCAGGCCTGAATTCATGTGAGCTCTGTCGTTGCTTCAGCTTTGCACAGGAGACTCTGGTGGTATTCATTCAGTTCCTGCCACAAGGCTAGGTCCTGTGCCAAACGGTCTGTCACACGTGGTTGCAATAGGTTCATGAAGCTCAGTCTCCGGTATGAGATTTTAATCCAAAATGAGAGATGTAGATACAGTTAAATTTACTCCAATCATGTTTTATGTGAAACAAAGGTTAGTGTTTATTCACGAGGCTGAGAAGCTTGTGAATAACAGCAGATCATTACTAAAATTACGTTAAACTGCAGTCAAGAGCTTTTTAGATTTTTCTTTATAGCAAATTATAATTACTTGTAAAAGTAGACTTGAACAGGCAAATGTTGAGCCTTTTTACTGGGATATGATCTTTGTAGAATTCAGATTCTTAAGGATGAAATGAGCAATCCAAAAAGACTAGGTACATACTAATTGTGATACATCCACCAACACAGTTTTCTGTCTTGCTGGTTCTGGAAGTGATGGAATGGCTTCAGCCTGAATCCCTATTTACGCAGGTAAAGAATGGTTTACAGATCCCAGATAAAATTCAAAAGAAGAAAATGGTCACCTGGAAGGTATGCAGGGACAGACTGCTTTGCGAAAGAATCCTTGCAGAAGATTAACAAGGTTTATGTTTTTAGAAGAAATGGCTCTACAGCCCAAATAAAAGATGGTGAGAACAAGTTTTAAGTGTACGAGGAAGCAATTTAAAGGAAAATGGTTATATGGTGGAACCAGAAAGCTTGATCATGAATAAATTGCTAGAATAGGACTAAATGTTTCTGAAGAGTTCGGGACTAAGACAAAATGGAGTAAAATACTGTTTATATCAAGCATCAATGAACATGGAAGACAATACAATAAACACCGATTAGCATCACCAGAAAAAAGTATGGGTACAAAGTTGAAAAAAATTGTATTATGTCTCTGCAAATCACAGTGCAGCTACACCTAAGAAACGACACTTAGTCCCGATTGCTATATACCAAGGAAACTAATTCAGTTATAAAGACCACAGTATGGTGAGGGGAAAGTTGAGAGAATCAACATTCTTAAGTTACAAATTATGTGTGGGTAAGATGACACAGGGAAGAATGTGGACTTGTATGCTCATACTAGAATATTAAGTCAAAAATATACACTAACACATTAAATTATTTTAAAATAAAAATATTACTTTGTGTTTTAATTCCATTATTTAACTTTTATCCTTAGGAATAACATGACTCAAAATACTATTAAGTTAAAAAAGGGATTAGAATGAGGAATATTTGAATATCTTTTCTCTCTTTAGGGCTTAAGTAATAGAAGATAACCATATACTCCCTCAAAATATATTCATGTCTTGCCTCCAGTGTTAGGTACAATAGGTTGGGTGAATAGATAAGACATTTCCCTTTAATTCAATTAAAATTTTTGTATTGAATGTTTAGCTTTAAAAATGAGAGGTTTCAAGATGACAAAATTAGCAGACACTGAAATTAGATAGTGAAAGTCATTTCCTCTTTGTCCTGGGTAAACAGAAAGACAGTGTTTTCCCAGATTTCTTTTCAATTAAGAATAGGCATGAGACTGAAGTTTAGCTGGTAAAATATAAACGAAGTGGATGTGTTTGAAAAACAAGGTGCTCTTTCACAATTCTTTCCCCTTACGCCAGTTGGGTATTGATAAAGAGATGGCACAGTCACATGAGAGGAGGAGCCTGCACTAGTCCACTTTTAACCAGATAATTAGAGAATCAAAGTAGAGATCTAGTATAATTTAGGAATGTGTTTTTATCCTTTCCATGTACTAAGATTATATTGTATATTTTTAGAACAGTGTCATATACGGATTGTAAGTACTTAATGGATTTATGAAAAAGACAACTGTTTCTTCTGCAGTGTCTTGTACAGACTCACTGTGTAATGAAGTTCAATTACTGTTGGCTTATTAGTGTCCTTGTAAATCCATGATGTACAGCTGGTTTTGGAAAAAATGAAAAAGGTACTCCTTTATTAGGAAGGATCTTTCTGAGGCATTGTGAGTGTAAGAAGTTCTAACCTCCAGAAGGTATGGTAAGTTCAGAGTTCGCCTCGTCAGAAAGCCTGAGTGGAATTCAAAGAGAATGCCTGAAATTCAACCCAGCTGACAAGCACAGATTTTACTAAAATCTCACCAATGCTCAGATCCTAATCTGTGCTGGAAGAAAATTTGTTCATTTAAAATTCTTAAGCAAGTGGTAAAATGAATCAAACCAAAGCAGCAACAAAGCGCATCTCCACCTCAACCGCAGATCCGATTAACTCCGCCTCCTACTCCAAGAGTCCCGGGAAGAAACGGGCACGCGCTTCTCCGGAGGTAACACTTCTTTTCACACCTACTCGGCTTTTATTCAAAGTATCCAGCATATGGTAAGAGGTCAGAAGACATGCAAAGAAGTAGAAAAACTTGATCCAGAGAGGAAACAGTCAATAAAAGCAAACGCAGAGATTTCCAGATGTTGCAGTTATCAAAGGTAGATAACTATGATAAAAATTCTAAAGGAACTAGTGAAAAGAATGGAAAACATGCATGAAAAGATGGGGGCTTTCAGCAGAGACATGTAAACTTTGAAAAAGAAGAAAATTCCATAATTGGATATGATTACACATAGAGAAAAGGATGGATAAAGTGGAAGACAAGGCATTTGAAAGTATAAAAATTGATATTTGAAGAGAAAAAAGTGAAAATAAAAATACAATATATGAGTTTTAAAGGCAAAAGCAAATAGCCTTACATCTTGTAATTGAGTTTCAGGAGAGGATAAAGAGAATGGTACAGAAGAAATGTCTGAAGAGATACTGACTAGGAACTTTTACAAAATTGATGGACATTAATGAAGAGAAAACCAACCAAAAAAATGACTGATACTAATGAACACCTAGCAAGGCTAGTATATGGAGCTGGGCAGTATTCACTGCAAAGTCGTGTTCATCCAGACCGCCAGGATGTGATTGTATTTTGAAATAGTGTATTTGCTGGTGTAATTATTTATGACAAGATCATACTAGGCTAGGATGAACCCTAAATTCAGCGACTGGAGGCCGTCAGATGACTACCTCATGACACAGAAATGGAGAAGGCCAAGTGAGGACAGGCAGAGACTGGAGCGGTGCAGCCTCAAGCTAGAGGAAGCCACAGGTTGCCGGTAACCAGACACCAGGAAGAAGCAACGGAGGATTCTCCCACAGTCTGTAGACCGGGGAGCCTTGGTTTTGGATTTCTGTCCTCCAGAAATATGAGAATAACTCCCTGTTCTTCCAAGCGACCTGGTTAATGGTGATGTGTTATGATAGCCTAGGAAACTTAAAAAAAGAAAAGGGAAACCTCATCAAGTAAAAAAGAAAACACAAATTACTAATACCAGAGATGAAAAGAGGGACATAATTCCTTAGCCATTTCATATGAAAGAGCATGTTATGGACAACTTTATGCCAATAAATTCAACAATCCAGATGAAAAGGAGAAATGCCTTTTTAAAAGTAACTTGTCAGAAGTGATGCAAGAAGAATAAATAAAAAAAAAAAGTGACTACATGTTTATTTAAATCTGTGTAATCACAGATCTTTCCCAACAGACAACTTCAGGCCCTGATTACTTCACAGGTGAAGTCTATCAAATATTTAGAATAATACCAAGTTCTACACAAACTCCAGAAACAAAGAGAACTTTTCAACTTGTTTTATGAGGCCGACATAACCCCAGTAACAAACCTTGACAAATACAGTATGAGAAAAGAAAAACATTTGTGTCCCTCATGAACACAGCTGCAAAAATACTGAACAAAATAACAGGAAATAGAGCTTAGCAATGCAAAACAAATGGTATAGCATGACCAAGGGGAGTTTGTCCCAGCAATATAATTTGCCACCTTAACATAAAGGAGAAAAATCAGAATAAAAAATTTTTTGATAAAATGGAGCACTCAGGATAAAAAAGTCCCACCAAACTAGAAACAAAAGAGAATTTCACCTCTTATAATGGGCACCTATAAAAACCTAACAGCTAATATATTTAATGGTTTAATATTAAATCCCTTTTCTCTAGGATTGGAAAAAAGGCAAATACTTGCCTTCTATTCAGCATTACAGTAAAAATGCTAGTTAGTGTAATATGACAAGAAAAAAAGGATAATGTGTGTTTACAAAAATCCTATGAAGTTTTAAAAACTAATTTTGGAGTAATAAGTGCATTTAGAAAGGTCACAGTATAGAAATTCAGTAATGGTGATAAACTGCTCCTCTATTAATGAATGCTTGGAAAGTGAAATATATTATCTACAATGTATAAAAGCCATATAGGAACAAATCTAATGACATGTAAGACCTTTACACTTAAAGATACGAAAAATGCTGCTAAGAATTTAACTAAATACAGTCATGTGCTGCTTAACAGTGTTTTAGTCAGCAATGGGCTGCATAGAATGATAATGGTCCCATAAGATTATAATGGAGCTGAAAAATTGTCACCTAGTTACATAGCCATCATATTGTGGTAGCACAACGCATTACAGAAATATGTACATCATGTTAAAGTCGCCTGCAGTATTCAGTACAGTAACATGTACAGGTTGGTAGCCTAGAGGTACAGAATTGGACACCTCAAAATATGTATATTTGGCATAAAGATTATTTTAGGCAGATGTGGAAGGAGCTTTGAAAAAACATGAAGTTACTCTTTGTAAAAGACATTTATATTTTTGAGGGAAATCTCCATTTGTAAAGTATCTTGCTATACCAGGATGAGGAAGATGACCTTATCTTGACAAACTCTTAAAAATGCGCAAGACAATGACCTAAATCTGTGTAACAACCTTACACTTGTTGCTCTGCTTTTCCTGTAACCTCCCATAACTGACGACTCTCCTCAGCCCCACGCCTCTTTTGTCTTCAGCTGAGGAGGGTATGTAAAGTGGCAGCTTCAACCATTTTGACAGAGGACTCATTTTTTTCTGGGTCTCTCCCATGTGTGCAGAAGGAAGTCGTATTATTAAACTTTTATTTGTTTTTCTTCTATTTGCCTTATTACTGGGATGCCTCAGTGAAGAACCCAGAAAATTAAAGGGAAAATTACTTTTTCTCCCCCACAAAGCAATAGGCTATATACCGTAGCTTAGGTGTGTAATAAGTTACACCATCCAGCTTTGGGTAAGTGCACTCTGTGATGTTTGCACATGACAAAATCACCTAATGAAGCATCACTCTGAATGTGTACTCCTCTAAGCAGCACATGACTATAAATGGAAAGATTTGTCATGTTTACGTATTGAAAGACCCAATGCTGTTAAGACATCCAATTTCAACTTGATAATCTATGGAGTCAGTGTAACCCCTGTCAAAATTCCCAGCATGATATTTTGAAGAAATTTTTAAGTTGATTCTAAAATTTGTAAATTCACAGCATCTAAAATAGTGAAAGCAATCTTGAAAAAATCTGAAGACAAACGCTGATCTCAAGATGTATCATGTTACACTAAACAAGACAGTTGGCATGGGAATAGACAAATACACTGATGGAACATAACAGAGTCCTAAAATAGTCAACACATATGTAGTCATTTGATTTCCAATGAAAGAGTCAAGAAAATTCAGTGAGAAAGGGGAAGTCTTCAACTGATGCATTTTACATCAGGACATCCAAATAAAAACAATGAAACTCGCCTTTACCTTTGTCCTTTCTAGACCTATAGGAAAGAGCCCAAACCATAAAGTTTCTAGGTGAAAACACAGGAGAATCTGTGACACTGAAGAAAACAAAGTTTTCTTAGGAGTATAAAAGGAAATGTTACAGAGGATGTTTTCAAAATGTAAGATTTCTGTTTCTCAAAAGACATAAAAATCTAAATGGACTAATTAGAGATTGGGTGAACATACTTACAATTTGTATATTTTACAAAGAACTTGGATGCAGAATACATACAGAACACCAACAAATCAATAATAAAAAGAACCATCCAGCTTTTTTAATGTGTGAAGGAGTTGGACAAATACCTCACTGGAGAAGATATATGAATGGTTAAATTAAACATGAGAAGGTGTGCAATGTTACAGAAATGGTAGTAAGTGCTACAGTGAGGTACCACTGCATACCCACTAGTATGGCTATAATAAAAAAGACTGACAACAGCAAATAATAGATAAGT